AAATTTATCAAGAAAAATGTTTGTGTTTTCGAGCTGGTGATAATGTGCGGATTGCAATTCAAATTTGACACATTTTTTACTTTGGCAGTTTTTCAGAAACAACATATACTGTGAGTTTTTGGGAAAATTAGAGGTGGCTGTATCATTTTGCGACGCACTGTATTATCCCCAACGAAGTTTGCCTTGCCATCAATTGGTTAACTACCCTTAAGTGAGCGGGAACTTCAGTGAAGTAGATCGTTGAGTTGCTTCAACTTTGTTCCAGTGCATGCTGTTAGCTTGTACAGGCTGATCTAATGCATTCCTTCGTTAGGTGAGGTCCAAATAATAGCGTTATAAATTCCCGTTAATCTGCAATATCTGCGGATAATGTTCACAAATTTGTGGGGATTTTGTCGAATTCAAGTTTAGATTCTGTTTTTCACGATACCTATTACGTGATTAGACGTTTTCATTATGATAATGTGTACTTATTTACACTATACCGTTTGTACAACTTTAACTTCGTAATAAACTATGATGAGCTCAATTTTCCAACACCCCACTACTTAACAAAACAATTGTATTTGATATAGATACATCGAAAGAGTTAATTAAATGTAATCCGATTGGTGATGAATTCAAATCAAATTTACAAACATCAATATTGTATAAAAAAAAGAAATTAAGACGAAGTAAGCCATTTTCCACTCATGTAAAACCTCCTTTAGAAATATCAAAGGTAATAGCGAGTTGCAGTTTTTTGAGATTGCTAGTTGAATTCACTCAATGATGAGTTTAGTTCGGTCATAAGAAAGCGGTGAAATACATTAGTCCTCTAAACAGTAATACCAACACTTACCTGTACTTAGTTTTGTTTAAAAAATCTTATTATTATATGATTAATGCTGTATTTGAAATTCATTTATTATATTTATTTGGCCTCGTTAGGTGAACCGACGGGGCAGCCTCTGAAGCATGAGAACCAAGGGGAGAAGGTGCTGTGCGTTAGATTAGTTTGGTATTGGCATACCTTGAAAGGCTTAATGTGGGTCAGAACATCACTAATGGAAAAGAATAATATCGGTATCCAATATAGGCGAACCTCTTTATCAACGATCCTCTCCACTGCTGCTCTCAGGATCTCAATTTTCATCAAATGCTTCTACATAGGAGCTGTTTTTGCTGTGAAAGTCTTCACTCAAAAATCAACCGCTGTATCCTTACCATCTGCGCACTATCTCGCCCACCCTCATCATTGCATCGTCGTCCGGTCCTGTGCAACAAGCGTAACTTGTTGCAAAGGACACGGACGACGATAACAAGCGAAACTTTTCAGGGTCTAAGTGATTGTTGCTTAATTTCCTACAGAGGCATTACATTACTCGTGTTGTCTACTGACTTTAAAGTTTTGCTGTAAAGAGAATTTGTTGTAGGCGTATCTTGCTGAAATCATCTGCCACAACGATGTTGTCAATCTGCCGTTTTGCCTCTGGATCTACAACAATTCGAATGGTTTTAATGACCTTTTCTTATACGAGGCTTGTATAAGGCATTTACTAGGAGAAGCCCCTCGTTTCGAGAGAATTAAAATTCTACCTAAGGTGAGAAAATTTAGTTCCTACAGCGAAGGGTTTACTGCACTTCATTTAGAAGAACTCAGATAGGCTCTCTCTGTTTCGTAGTAACAATGACAGCATCAGTTATTTTCCAAACGTAGCTCATTTCTTTACAACTGCGTATGCTAATAACCATGAGAAATCGCCTCCCACCTGATCAAAAATTAAATGGGTCATCAGGTGCCTAACCGAGTGTCAACAAGTTACGAAAAAAGCACTTTTCGACTAAAATGGCAGCTTTCACGGTTTGATATGGTAGAAAGAAGGACGTTCGCCTCCAACTCTCAATTCATTCTATGGTTTGAATCTTTCTGAGATCACGCCACTCAAATTTTCAGGGAACCGCATGGACTCGCGATAACTGGATAACAAATAGCAAGTGGAATGATGAACGTGATTTTATGATGCACAATTGGAAGACGACGCAGCTGCGGTCCTACCGCATGAGGCCATTACCGTACGAAAACTTAATTTTTTCTGGGAACTCAACCAATTATGCGCACCTACTCATAATCAAATTATGACGCTTTGAAGTAAGTCAATCATCTACTCTTCACAGACTGGAATCTGAATCGCGAGGCGAGTGGTACAATCCGATTGCTGGGCCCATAGTGCTGTCTCTATGCACAAGAGGGTGATTTATGGGAATTTCCGTTCGTAGAACCAAGTATTCTTCAAGAAAAGAATGAGTAAGAAGCATCTCAATAATTTTATAGGAACACAACATGGCAGTACGACCGCAACTTGTTGGCTACTCGCCAACAAATCGACGATCGACTAATAAGCCTTGCCGAAACAGTTGATGAGGAGAGAGCGGAAGCAATGGTTCACCTCCAGAAACTATGGAAGATATGGCTCACCATGAACGATAGAGATAATGATAATACCAAACATGGTCCCTGCAACTCTCTAGAGATTTTATAACCGTTATCGTCTGATGTGTATTTCTCTCTACTGGTTCCTGCAGGACTTACAGTTTTCAACACCAGTTGACGCTAAGCCGTTGTTTGGTACGGCAAAAGTTTATAATAGTCGTCTACATAGAAAACTTACTGTATTCTAAAGCAGAACCCTATTGCATGAAGGAACTCCAAAATTTTAGCGAATGTAGAAATTGACTCGATTCAGGCATGCAAAATATATACAGCTCTATGTTATGAGCTTCTGAGAGCATTCAGCATTCTTTGCCGGCTTTCATTGAGGTGCTAACTTATTTAATAGCTTGCACAATCCTCTCTTTCAAGTCTCAGCAGCTTATATTTATCTGACCATTGCCCAGCAAACCAATTATTCGCGCTATTTCCGTTGTGCTATTGATGTGCGTTTTGCTAATATATGTTGATGAATTTGAACAATGCTTAATGCATGTTGCTTTCTAAGAAATGCTTTCTAAGAATTTGAACAATGCTAAATGCATGCTACTTTCTAAGAAGTGCAACTTTTCACCGGTGCTATCCACGTGAATTAAACCATAGATATGTTGATGTGTTGACAGAACGCAGCATCTCCGACCGGAGTCCATCGCGAGCATATGCTTCGAGGACGGTGGGCTTATTAATTACTACACAGAAACCATGTGTTGCCCTACCTGAGATTATTAATAAGTGACATCATATCACTTACTGGTAACTCTACGTATAAAGTGCTTCGAAAGTGGTTTAGGCATCGGAATTTCTTTATTAAATGACTTGAAGAAGAACTCGGAATTAGTTGAGAAGAAGCCTCGCATAACACATTGTGGGGCTGAGCCTATGAATACCGCCGTAAAAGATCGTTACAGGTCATATTACTTGAATTGTTTAATATATACGCATTAGAAATCCTTCGTTCCATTCAACTTTTATTCCTCTAACTTGTAACCTGTATAGCTATTGCAGATGAAAGTAGGGAAAGAAGGAGAGAGGGGACTGGGGAAATAGGAAAGAAGAAAGGTACGTCCATATATTTGACGTCAATTCACAATCATAGTTGCGTGATGAATGCGTATGTGGTCCACGCAATAACTTTCGGGTCCGCACGATGTGCAAATCAGAATTCAGAGGAATCTACTACCGAATAATATACCCGGGAAGATGGAAGGCTTGGTTGACCAATATATAATAGATATCCATGAGGGATTCAGACCCCTGACTCTGATGCACTTTTGTCCATTCAAGTACTTATTTATGAAGGATAAGGATGATTTGTCCAGAAACAGACTTGGGAGCAGCGTTTCTTTAATGCCACCAGCTCGCATTGTTTCCTCCACGGCTACCTAAATCGCGTTCACTTCGCTTCTGTACCATTTAATGATGATGTGTAGAGTGATTAAGATTGGAAAGAATGGTATTTAGTAGCTCCCACAAAAGTATAATGTAATAGCAAATTTAATGGATTAAGTTTTCTTTTGAAAAACTGTCAAGCAATAGAACTAGACGAAGCAAGGCATATATGACTTGAATCTAAATAAACATTCATGAGAGATCATCACTTTCTGAGATATATTTCTCAGGATAGAAACGTTGTAGCGTTGGAGCAGAATCAGTGCGTTGCTCGTGTTTGAGCGTTGCAAGTGGAGGCAGTTTCAAGGTTGATCCTTCTTCAGTGGATGACTGGCGTTCGAGACTGGCCTAAAATAATCCATGCTTCTTAGCTTCGGCACTTTCGTATGGTATGTTTCGTAGATTGTATGAAGGTTTTCATTGCTTGTTACTTCAAAGTTAAAATCGAATCCTCAAATAATCTGGTTGCTTGTCGCTCTAGAATTGGTTAGGCTCAAGAAAATGAAGAGATTATCGACTGCTCATCAGATTTCTTACTTTCGCTCTTCCCGCCTGTCTCACGATTGGTTTTCCTAAACTATATAAAGGATTTCACAGTGCATTGTGTTAATTTCCTAAATCGAGTCATAGAGGATTTGATTGCTATGATCTTCCTAGCACCAAGGTCAAGCTGAAGAGTGCGACCAGACATTACCTGCTCATTAGACTCTTTATAGAGCGTTCATTGAAAAAGTGGTCTGTGACATTTTCTGGCATCACAAAAGAAAAATCTAATTAAAACTTGCGTTTACGGTAATATTCCACTGCAACTGTACGCCTCCTTTAACCCGTTTCCCGCTCTCAACACCCCGTGAACCCGGTTCACCGCATTTTTGTGCAGAGGTGAGCACTCGTTACGCTAGTATGTCCCAAAGTTTTCAGTTCACAGGATCAACCATTTATTGTAGAATCGAAACGTTGTTCTTACAAGGATGTTATAGAAGCTGATGAACATTGCCAAAATAATGCTGCATATTGACCAATAACTTCCCCAATTTCTTCCTTACTTCACCTGTCTCAATGTGGTCGATCAACTCAATAATCCTCCACAGGTTTATCAGGATTTAGAAAACTTGATTTGCATTGTTCATTTCCTTACCTGCCCTGTTCACATGTTCCCAATCAGCCATCGTTACTGTATTCCACTACTTTTCCCAAACCTAATCATACCTCCGAGCCGCTGCAAATTCAGCGGAGCACAGTAATTATTCTAGAAGACAATTGCATGGCATACATATGGTGTTGATGCTACATATGTTTGGCAGAAGGAATCATTTTGATTGTTCAGCTTTGTTGGTCGTTGTTCGAGGTCGCAGTATGAAAAATGTTCCCACAAAAGTAAAATTCTCAGCCGAAATGATGGCTCGACGAGATTCGATCTGGGGCCTGCTTCCAAGTAATACATTACCCTGATTGTCGAAAAACCAAAATTGCAGGCTTCAACTTTCCACCAGCTTTTGCTTAATGGCTGAAGTGGGTTAGGATCACAGAAAGTAAAGTCAAGGCTCGACTGTGATAGGGGATACAGCTTGTGCGAATGAAAAGCTCAGGCTACATCCTTCCATTCTGTTCGTTTTCTTGTTATTTTTTCTTGCTCCGTGAGCCACTTTGCAGAATGCTAATAACTAACCTCACCTCCGGTGCATTGGTGGCTAGAGTGTGGAATACTGGTTCAGTGGCTCGATGCTGGAAGCGACTGCGCATTTTCACGAGCAACTCTGATGCACTTCCTCTGAAAATTGATTCTCAGATGACTTGCACTCATTATTTCCTTGTTGAGTATTTCAGCAAAAAAGGATAAATGAGAAACCAGGAAAAGTAATGAAAGGGGGGACTGGAAGAAAGTTGAAGTGGAACTATAAGGAACCATGGCCAACTGTCCTTTGCTTCAGAAATGCAGATTGGAGTAATGATGTTGAGGTTTGTCATGAGTTCTAAAATCAAGTGCCTCAATGCTATAAAAACTCGAACTTGTAGGAGAGGCCTCACTTCGGAGAGAGCTGAGCCCCTGCATTGCCACAATGAATTTCACGTTTTTTTGATGCCACCAGATTAAAAATTCACGACGACCCGCTTTTAACTGCAGTCATCCGATCCCTTGTTGAATAGAGGATGAACACACGAGTAAAACGCTGTCTCTTTTCCAGTTATCTGGGCCAACACGATCCACCTTGTCTCCTCCGTCAGACAATAAACATTCCAGTGAACGACAAGGAAAAAAGCTAGTCTTCCCACCAGCCGCCCTCGTTAGATGGTGCAGCTACTTAATAGCCATTCTTCTTAGATAAAGATCACTATTTTTGAGTCTTGAACGGAGAGGAGATTTCATGAAATTTCATAGAGAAGTCTTGAACGGCGAGGAGATTTCATGAAATTTCATAGAGAAGTTATAGAAGAACACAAAAATTGTGAAGATAAATCTGATAAAAAAGATCTAATATTGGAATCTGAGCAATTGAATATGAGCCCTGAAAGAAAGGGAACGGGCTGGTGCAGACGAAATAATCTTCAACCCTTGCGAAGCATGAAAAATGTAAATGAATAAGAGTCAATACAAGTCAGACATCACTATTTCTTAAGGGTCCTGAATACTACAGAACGCGTCATCGAGATACCAGATTATTTCATCGCCTTCAACAAGAAGACCAAGTTTTGATCGAGAATATTCAAAGAAGAACGGCGACCTTTCTCAGGCTAACTCAATTTTGGCCCTTCTCAGAAGAGCTGGAACTAGCTTACGAGCATTATGTCCATCTTGATGCTCAAGCAAAGTCCCACGAATTTTGCGGCTCTCAGTGGCATGTCCAAAATTCTAGACACTTACTGAGTCCCTCTCTACTCCATAGATAGGTCAGTTAGTAATTAAATAGGTCACAAGTAGAGCAGAAGCTGGACAAGTTAAAACCGCCAAACAATTTTTCTGGTGGTTGTTCAACAATCTTCCATCAAATTTTGATCAATCGAATAATTTCTTTAGGCTGTGATGTACGAAAAACTAGCGAAAATCGTCGAAACCGGTTCCAAAGCCAAATTCCCAGATGACATAGTTAAATCAGTCTTACTACCAAAACATGCGCAAGTTGATCGAGCAAGTGAAAAGGCAGTGTTAGTCATGCTTCAGGATCAAGATCAAGAGATTATGCAAGAAAGCCTCACGAGTAAAGGGTAAAGTCTAAGGATAAAGTCTTATGCAATCCCGTCTGAGGGACGCGCCCACGCATTCGACTTCCATTCAGATTCTCACAATTGGACCACAAGTAGAGGTTTGGGTGGTCAGCAGCGGTCTTTTTCTCTCTCACATCTATTTTTGATTATTATGATTGTGTAGTTGTTGATTGACAATGTATAAAGTTCAATTACCCATGGTTGATGTGTTTCCAATTACCACCAAATACCGAGCAAGCATACATGATAAACTGTGAATCGAACAACACAGAAATGTGCTCTGTAGTCACTTCTGCATTGTTGCATTCAGAAAACAACACAACTCCTTCACGATTTGTTCTCATTACCGCAAAAGGGTATACCTTTTCTGTCCATTCAAACCTTCCTTCTTCCTGTTTAGGCAATGGATACTCCTGCGCTCCTGGATTTCGTGTTGAGGATCCTAGTCTTTGATTACTCACCATCAGCTCCAGACGGTTAGTTTGTTCGAGTCGAGGCAATACCTCTTCATGCTTGAACGCTACAACAGCATTTGCGCACCGTCATGACTGCCCTCCTCAAGGACCGCGAACTGCTTTATTCGGTAACGCGTAGTGGCGAATAGCTTGCTAGGGAGGTATCATTACTCAAAAAGGCAACGCAGTGCTCAAAACTGCAGTGGAACTAACATTTCTACCTGTATCATCTTCCAGCAAAAATTGAATCTGTTTCTGAGTCCTTGAATTCTCCATCTCTATTTCCTGATTTGATTGAACTCAAGCCCTCTGTGGTGCCTATAGAAAATTTATGTTTCTTGAAGTTTTCGATATAGTCTTTTCCGTTATCCGAGACGCATTAATGAGCCCTTCCCTAGGATCGTGAGTATCTCTCATGAAGTGTTCAATGTTTCTGATATGGGCATTCCTTCTGACGCACCTCATACAGATACAGTAGCGCTCAAAAGTCTTCGGTGAAATGGTTCAACAGCCGTACTTCTTAGTCGTAACTCCTTTCCTACTGGATCTAGTCATGCGAAATTTCTATATGTGGAGCGTGGGTGTGCTGTGAATATTTACCACTATTAACTTGCAATCTGATCGTGTTTCAGATATTCCAAAGAGCATGAACTCAAAATCGACTGAAAATACAGATGATTTCCCTTCTAGAATCTCTTTCCTTTTTGCCATGTCTAAAGTGTACGACCGGTAACGCCGAACCCAATAGATGAGAAAAACGCACATAAGGTGCGAATAAGTGCAGATGTCAACAACTTCAGTTTCAGCAAAATCTGCTACCACAATAACACCTTGCTCTATCTGTGGATACTGCAGCTTCGCAGTCAAATAGTGTTGGGTAGGATGAAACATGCTCTAGTTAAACATATCCAAATTTCGAGCGATTTGGTCTACTAAGAAAAAAGTTATGAACGATAAATCGTCAAAGCATTTCACCGAAGACTTTTGAGCGCTACTGTAGATCTAGCTCGTCAAACCTGCAAATACGCATCGCGAACCATGACCTTCGTTTTGCCTGTTTATTAAGACTATTTACCTCTTGTCCATAAAATTTGGCAGCTCGACTCCTGAACAAGTCCAAACAACGAAGGGCGTTGCCGTTATCAGCAAGTAGCCCTTTCTCCAACTACTGTCTTCCGTATACTGACCACTGTCTACTGCTATCGCTATAACGAACGAGGCATTTAAAGCTCTTAATGACCCTATCTATTTCTGTCGTACTTACATAAATACCGAAAATCTCAACTTTTCAGTTCCGCTTAAGAGATGATTTACGCTTTGGTTTTTTCAAACCATTTATTGATCCATGTCGAACGCACTGCTTACACAAGCGTTAGGAGGCTACTCTAAGAGGGTTTCCGCCTTGGTCTCAACTAATGAATTACTATGATTTGATTCATAGTAGGGCCGTTTTTCTCAGCCTGCTTAGGTTCAGGTAATCTTATTGGTTGGTTTTTGGCCAACAAATCTGGTTGCGTACAAAGTCGTAGGAAAAGCGAAAAGTGTAAAAAGAGAACTATTAGATGTGTGCGCTGATGTTAGCGCTGATTTGAAAGGACTGTTGCGCGAACCATGTTGTAGGTTTAATTGTGAAACTTTTCATACCTTGTGAAATTGGTATTGGCCACCTATTTGACGGTAGGCGGATAATTCTTTCACACAATCTCGCTGCTCTCAAACTGATTGAACATGGAACGTGATTGGTCATTCATCCCAGGTCTCTTCTGCTGTATGATTTCATGGAAATGCCATTATAGTCAACCGGATGTTTTTTGATATAAATGAAGATCAAGCTTTATCTGAGCGAACCTGCAGAGAATGGTTTGAACGAGTTACATGTAGAGACTTCGACTTCAAATAGTAGGAACGTCCAGGCCAGCCGAAGAAGTTCGAGGACTCACAGTTGCAAGCACTTTTAGACAAAACTCCAGCCCAGACACAAACAGAGCTGGCAGTGGAACTAAACGTCAACCACGCAACTACTTCTAGACGCTTGCACGCATCGTAAAATCTTCGGAAAATGGGTCCCTCACCAGCTGTCGGGAAAGCGGCGTGAAGACTCGCAAGACCATAAAGACCCCGATAGGATATATTTTCCTTACTGGATTGGAACGAGGAATGAAATATGGACTTGCTGTGACAATCTGAACCGGAAAGCAACATATGTGGATCCAGACTAAACAACGGGTTTATAGCCGAAGCGGAATATCCTCTAACAAAAAGTAATGCTTTGTATTGAGTGAGATCAGAATGAGAATGTGCATTATGGGCTACTGAATACAAACGAAACTGTTACTGCTGCTCTTGCCGAATTTGTTCTCGACATTATATCCATCCTGTAGTTTCAGTCAGTATTTCTTCATCTATGCTGTGGTTGGAGGTCGGCTAGTAGTCACAAAAAGACCAGTTGTATGGTACCGAGTAAATCGAGACGAGGATTTTAAAAAAATAAGTTGATAGGGCAAAAAAGAAAAGAACCTTAGGAGTATGGAAGATAAAACGCTGGATCATTTGGATAAAGGCAACCGCGTCGCACGTTACATAACAGCTTTCGAAGCATTTGCATTATAGAGTCATGGTTAGATGGGAAGTAAGAACTCGTTTTCAGCACACTTCGCACTTCTCTTGCAATGAATTGATTGACCGATTTTAAAGGAATCTCGAAAGGTTGAAGTAAAGTTTCTCACTTTTTCTCAATCATCATTTTTTTCTTCTCTTCTTCCATTTTGGTGCTTGCCATTTTGTCGCTGGATCCTCTGCAAAGCCATGTTGTTATGATACAAAAAAAGGATCTGTGGATCTAATAGGATCTGCTTGTCGACCCAATCACTTATCAAAGTTGAAGGTGTCTCTAATTGTCTTCTACGACACTCATAAACAAGGAGAACCACCCAATGCACATCGAATATGTTGAAACGAGCGATGAATGTATTGCAACTTATTTGTATGCATTGGAGGAGTTACTTTTCAAAAATAAGTTGAGGCTCTACCAATTATGAACTAAGAAAAGGGCTGATGTAAACTCACGACGCGGTAGATGTACCACTTTGAGATTTCTTCTTCGGATCTTCGAAGGAGTCAACCTGAAAAGCACTCTCATAAAAAAACCAAAGTTGAAAAGTAAACAAGTGATGGTTTATTCCAGAGAGTGAGCCCCTTTTTCCGATGTATTCGTTTAGATTCTAATTAACGTTCTGTTAACCATAGTCGATTCGACTGCCCTCTACCAACTCACACACATTTAATTGATCTGAAGGTAGGATGATACTCGTAGGAAGTTAGGTTTAGGTCAAACGTCGACACCTCTTCTTGCCTGCTATTGCCTTAATCCATATAAAGGCTGGCATTCAAACTAACAGTCGACCCGCGCATAATGGATTTGCTTCGATATAAACAGTGTAATATTTAGGGAAACAGAGACCGAATGGGAGACAGCAGATCGCTTTAGCTGCTCTACTAGGTTGACATGAAAACTTGCGAAAAGAAGTAGAAGAAAATAGTTTGAAGAGGGCACGAGGAACACATCCCTATGCGTGGTTGGAGGCAGACTAGTCAGTCACCGCGATCGTTAAACCCAATGAATCTTAGCATAGCTAACCTGGCAGGGAAAGGAAGTAAAAAACATTACAAAGGCATCTGAGGAACGCGATTTTGACACCGTCATTGACGTATTAGAACTGATTGAAAGCAGTTGTATTATGAGATATGCATACATGAGTAGTTTAAGAGGCAGAGTTCACTGAAATCTTGGAGGAATCTTTTTCTAGGTAAAAGGCGAAAGCGTTGGTAGAGAACGTGGCGAGCAGTGAAAGATATTTTGCAGAATTTGTGGAATGTAAGGCATCGTATAAGTAATGAAAATAGGGTATCGCACATAATTGCAGCGATGGAAACGGTATGGAATGGGTATTTGAACGAGATTCCGCCGTGTGAGATTGCGAAAATAACTGACCACGATAAACAAAATATGAAAAATTGCCTCCTATTGTCGCTACCAGTCATGACTAGTTACTTGAAAGTTTTAACATGCGAGCTAAACTGCGAGGGTCTGGGTGGAAGTACTTCTTTCCAAGTTGTCATGGCAAGCGGCAGTGGTTCCGCGACGGCTCCCGTATCCTTACGCTGGGATTTTTAGCATATCTAGATGCATCACAAGGTTGGCGATTTGTGGGCAAAACTCCAGTCTCGGATGGGCATCATATCTAGATGTATTTCAAGTCGAGAGAGGACTATATAGCATACTTGGGAGTCACAGTTCCCTTCCACATAGAAATCTCGACAACAGTACTTGCCATTAACTGTGCTTTTGAGACTATTGATAAAGTGACATATTTCTAAGCATTCGAACAGAAAAGAAAATATATTATGGGAACCCGACCGTGTCCTCCCTTCAGCGAGTTTTCTCGGTGCAACGCAGACCGCTGATGCCCACCCATTTGCCCAAGATTCTTTTTCGATGCGACCTATGTTTCAGGGGTTGAGCATATTTATATTTCAATAAGGTTTCCGTGGAATCAACCAAACTGTTTGAGAAATGCTGCCTACATTACATATTTTAAGCATCTCCTGAGTTAGGGCTTCTTATTCTTCTCCTTAATCATGTTTCGTACCTAGTTCTCGAAAGTCTCCGTCCGTTTCAGACGTACTTTTCAGTCGTGACTTCTTTCCTACTGGTTCTATTTATGCATAGTTTCAATATGTATAGCATGGGTGTATTGTGAATATTTACCACTATTAGCCTGCAATCAGACCAAGTTTCAGATATACTGAAGAGCTTGAACTCAAAATCAACTGGAAATACAGATGATGGCCCTTTTGAGTTTTCCTCCCTTTTTGCCATGTCCAAGTGTACGAGCGCTAATGCCAAACACAGTGAAGGAGAAAAACGCACATAAGGTGCGAATAATTGCAGACGTTGCCAACTTTGATTTCGGCAAAGTCTACTTACTACCACTACACATCTTGCTCTTAGTTATGCGGATATCGATGCTTTGCATCAAATAGGGTTGGAGAATGTGAAGTATGCTTTACTCAAACAAATTAGATTTGTCCGAAGATTTTTGAGTGCTACTGTACGTATTCGAGAAAATCAAACAGAACAAAAATGAGAGAAGAAAACAGGAAGCAGGAGGGAATGGGAGAGCTGTTTTACGTCATAGAGGATTTAGCCCTATCTCTTTCTGGAAGTGGGATTAGTGAGATCCCGACACGATTACTCACCCACCAGTACAACAATTCCTTAGAATTTGTTAAAAGATGTTGAGTGTCTTTCAGAAGATGAATGCTTAAAGGAAGGAGGCCTCGAGAAAAGGCTTTCATCCTATTCTACAAACCAGAATACATTCAAGTGGACCCAGTTTTTCACCGAGGATTCATGGTAGTATTAGGTCATGTAATTAGGAGGTTTGTGTTCATTCGAAGGGATGGTGAGAAAAGGAAAGATCCGATCGACGTTTAGATCGGAAGCTAGTACAAATGGCTTCGTCACTGCTCAATTTCGTCATCTCGTCTGTAGGGGAAATTACTCAAGACATGATGCTCAAATTCATTTTAAGCGGAATCAAATTTCGGAAGGCACGGGATTTCCTACGCGATATGTTGAAAAATTCGTGCCAGTGTTCATTGAAGGAAGGACTGATGCAGGAAAAGGCTGATAATGTGCTCAAAATGTTCTCTCTTCCATGGAAGAGTGATAGGTGAAATCGAAGCTCGAATGGTGGAGCGCAGAGACTGGACCATTTTAAACACCGCCACGAGAACGGCATCTCCGCTGAATCCAATGACCGAATTGTGCTCAAACAATTAAAGATGGCCGTGGAGATGTGTTTATGAGTTCCTCAGTTTCTTATTGAAGTAGAACTTCACAATTGAAATGATGCGTGCACTAACAACCTTCCGCGCCATCAAATTCAAATCACTTTAAAACGGACAAGGGTTAGCAGACAATGGTGAGTTTGCACTAAAACGAAAACTCAGTCCGGGACTCGGCTCATACAGTAACCCCCTGGCTAGTCCCTTTTCGACGCGTCATATATGTGACGGGTAAAAATTTGCGTGTTAACACGTGCCGGATTACTGTAAGAGTCGAGTGCCGGACTGAATTTTCGTTCCTGTTGAGTTTGCCCGTTGAGCCCAAAGCTGACTAGAGATAGTTCGACATGAGGGGCATCAGTAATGACTCAGCAGAACCACGTGGTCACAAAAACGCTATAGACTTGTAGGGTATGAATGGTTGACGAGTCTATTCTAAAAAGAACGTCGATGCTGAAGTGTATCATCGGTCTCTCGACAATAACGTCGACAAACGAATGGCAGCACACAATTACATGTAGACCATTATCGCTTAGACCATACCGAGCACCATGCAACTCAAATTTTTCGGCGGGTTTCTGTCAGATTCAACAACACTTCCTTACCGACATGGAAGCGTTCCACCTCATCTGCCTCAGTCAACTTAAGGCACGGGTCAGTGGCAACCTTGACAAGTGGCCGATTACCGAAGCACACCGAAATAGCACCTCCCGCGCACTTGGTAAAGAAACGAGCTCTTCTGTGCACTGCGCTACCTGAAACCTGGGAATGGGTCACTGACAACAGTGGGTTCTACTTGACTCCGCATAGGAATATAGACTTCTTGCTTTCTTCGCCGCCCATTTTATTCGAAGAAAAAAAGGCTTTTGAATGAGATGCCTCACGATAAATAGTTGAAGGGTTCCCAGAACTAAAACTTCAAAACTTCAAGTGAAGATACAATCTGCGTTAGAAATAAAATTATCTATCGGTACGGCTAGGGATGACATCCAGGAGTATCCATGACTCTCTGGTATTGTCAGAAAATCTTTACCATTCATTATTTTTTTCAGATTCGTTTCTTTGGAAAAAAAACATATGATTAAAAAACGAGCTTCATTGCATTATAGACACCTCAAATGTCTGCACGAAAACCGTCATAGAAATCTATTTAATTTTGCTCATTAGGATTTAATCAATTTCGAAAAAGCCTCACCTTTTTCAATGACTTGATGAATTCTTCGGCACTTAGTTGCTCATCCAAATCGTCACTATTAGTAATGAGAGCATTTAGACTCATATTGGGTCCCAATGGATCTGTAATGTGATCTCATTACGATAGCTCAGCACTAGAAAAATACTCACGAAGTATAATATCATATAAATGGGTAGAAGGAATATGAGCAACATCAACGACACAAGTTCGAATTACTTATAAAGAGACGGTAGCGAAAGAAAAGTGGCCTATGACCGTAGCGGATAACACGGTCAGAAGAATTTCGCAAGTGAGTACTCCCACAACAACTACCGAATGTCCCAAAGAGTGTAGAGAACTGTCGAAAGTATGGACTAACACATGTGGTGCTGTAGAGGAGTTTAGTTATGAGTTTGGCCTGAGCTGTGGAAAGGCTGTCGAAGGCGAGGATGCACAGCTCTGTGTTGGGGTGGCACGGATTCTATGTTTTTTACATAAGGCAAAACTTCCTCAGGGAAGTTTCAAGGCTGACGATATTGCTTCATGACCTTATTAGCGTCCTGACCAAACAACTCAGTAACAGGTAGCGGAATAAGACCATGCTGACTCAACACGTAACTAATGATACCCATAATGGAGCTGCTGTCGCTAACTGCTCCTACCAAACAACAATAAACAGCTATTGGGTAAATATGTAGGCGCAGAAGTTCGCCATACAAATTGGAAATTCTCTTTACCTAAGGGCTACGAATTGTGAGAAATTATGTGGTCTCCAACGGGAGTCGTGGTTTCCGGGAACTGAGCTCTCCTTCCCTTACATTATTTAGCATTATTACCTTGTTCAATTGAGGGAGGTTCTCATCATTCAACTGGATGTATTGGATGTATCTGGATGATATTTGGATGTATCAAGCCTAACAGTGCTTGATACATCCAAAGTTTTCTCCCCAGAGCTACAGCTTTCGGAATTCACAAAGAAGCAGTCATACGTCCAGTTAAACTATATTTGTAGCAACTTCCATGTTCGCCTCTCTTGAAACTTGGGCATCGGTACTAATATTATAATTATTAATCGAACCACCAGTGCTAGCACGCCTACCCATAATGTACTGCCGCTACATTGACGACTGTTTCGTCATACCATCAACTCAGTCAGAAATGGATGAGTTGTTCAACATTCTAAACAGTCAATCGCAGTACATCAAGCTAACTCGAGAAGTCCCACACGACACGGAGGCTGGTTACCCTTTTTGAATACTCAGGTGAGGGTTAGCAGTGGAACGTACAGTGTGAAATGGTATAGAAAAGGAAGCTCCAAAAATATCATCATTCATGCAATGTCGGCACACCCCAGAGCTGTCAAACGCGCAG